GATCAAATTCAAATTAATGTTTGATTCGATTTGATCAAATTCAAATCAAGTATTCAAATATTTGATTTGATTTGAATTAATAGTAAAGTCTTTTTCAAAGCTTCAGAAGTGACTCTTACTAAGAAATCTATAGTAAAAAGTGCTTCTGCAGCTTCAGAAATACCTTTTTACTAAGAAAACTATAGCAAAAAGTACCTTTGCAGCCTTCATAAATGCCTTTTTTACTAAGAAAATTATAGCAAAAAGAGCCTTTGCGATTTCAAAAATGCCTTTTTTACTAAAAAAAACATAGTAAAAAACATTCAAAAACGTTATTTTACTAAAAAAAATAATACTTTTGCAACTTTAAAAATGTTACTTTACTAAGAAAACAGTAAAAAAATGTCTCCACAACTTCAAAGATGGTATTTTACTAAGAAAATATAGTAAAAAAATGTTTTTACAGTTTCAAAGATGGTATTTTACTAAGAAATATAATAAAACTGTTACTATGGCTTTGGATATGATATTTTATTAAGAAAACATAGTAAAAAAATGCCTTTGCAGCTTCAGAGATAGTATTTTACTAAGAAAATATAGTAAAAAAACATTTTTGCGGTTCCGGAGACAGTATTTTACTAAAAAAATATAGTAAAAAACGTTTTCATAGCTTCAGATACATTTTTTTTACTAAGAAACCTAGTAAAAAAGATGTTTGTAGCTTCAGAAACGTTTTTTTACTAATAAAATTATTACGAAGCCAAGATAACAGTTATTAATAAGTTTTCTTAGTAAAACTGAGACTGTGAAGTTATTTTATTAAATATAATAATAATAATTCACATTTACTTTGTAAAAGCTATTTTTGAAATTTTTTAATGCAATTACTAATAATTATCTTAATTAAAACTTTAGAATAATTTTATTTTAATATATAATTGTAAAAAATAAAAAAAAATTATATTCGATTTAATTTAATTCAATTCGATTTGATTTGATTTGAAAAAATCAAATCAAATTCAAATTGCTTAAATATTTGATTTGATTCGATTTTGAGAAATCCTATTAGTCAATATCTTATGTAAAAATGCATATTTATAACTTTGTCTTTTTTTAGAAGATATTTTTTCATAGATTTCCCTTACAATAGAATTTATAAAATAGTATTAATTGGAGAATTCATATTTTTGAAAAGCACAATGATATAAGAAACACTTATAAATATTTTTCAGTTGATGGTTATAATGCAAGTAAGTAGACCTCAATTCTGAAATTAATTACAATTAAATTTTATTTTTATTAGTTATGGGCTAAAATTAACAATAATGCTTATAGGATCTCATAAATAAGAAGTCAACTAAGTTCTAATCTTTTACCTAAAGTAGAACTACTCAAATGATATTAATAACTCTTAAAAACTGAAAATTAAAGATAAGATATTTTTTATTCTCTAATGAAAGTATCTATACCTAATGATTAGTTTGATAATTTCTTACTTTAAAGTATCAAAACAGAAAAATATGTTTGTATATATTAATGAATTATAAATTTTGTTTTTAATAATCTATTAAGTATTATCAGACCATTTGTATTTGCAGAATTAGTAAAATAAAAATTTTTTAAAAAAGTTTGTGTTTATGATTTTTTTTAAACTATATATCTGATAATTTGATATGAAAATTATAAATTGCTACATTTTTTTCACCTATATATCTTACAAAAAAATTGAATCCAGTTCTAATATTATTATTTTATAAATCGTAAAATACATCAATCATATAATATAATATATTTATACATTTAAGTGAAACTGATTCGTTTGTTAACTGCTAATTTTTCAGTGATTAATGAGGATGAGACTCCATCTAATTAAAAGAATTGAATCTGGGATAGTTATAAAAAAATATTTTTAGAAATATTTTATTGTTAAAAAATATATAAAAAGCAATATGATATTTAGCTTGAAGTAAATATAGGAATTGTAATCAATTTAAATTTTCAACTATTAGATCATGAAATCACTATTAGATTATGAAGTTACTAATATAACATATCAGGAATTAATAATTAGAAAGCTGAAAAAGCATTTAAAAATTAGATTATACTGTTAATATTAGATTATGTATTTAAGTTGTGAAGTTACTATTTGATTATATATTTAGGTTATGAAGTTATCAATAGATCGTGAAGATACTACTAGATTATGAATTTACTTTCATAATCTAATCCAAATTGCTAGTGACTCTTTAATATAATTATATTAAAGAGTTATTGGCGATTTGATATTTTAATCATGTTAAATATGTTAATTCTATTAATGTTAATCATAATAAGTACATAAATTATGTATATTTTTTAAAACATTAAATATATTTAATAAATTCATATAAACATTATTATATTATCTCTTAAATGGTAATGATTTTCATTCAAATTTAATCATGATTTTCAATCAATTATTATGCAAAATTCTACATAAAACTTAAATTTTTAGTTAAAATACATTATAAAATTATTATAAATCTATTATTTTTAAATAAAATATCATTTTTAATAATTAAAATATTAAATATATACAAAATTTTCAACTTTAAATTTATGATATTTTTATAAATAAATAATATAAATAAATGTTTTAATTATAAATTTATATATTTTGTAAAGTTTTTTTAATAATATAAAAATAAATAAAAATTAAAAATTTTGACTTTTGACTTTTATAAAAAAAATACTTTTATTAATTTTTTTTTTTGATTTTACTTAAAAACATTATAAATTTTATTATAGAGCTATTATTAGTTTAATAATTAATTTTTAATATATTTAAAATTAACTTTAAAGTGTAAGTAAAATATAATAAATATAATATTTAAATTTTTATTTATAAATAAATAAAAATAAACCAAATAAATTATTTAATCTAAATTTATTTATTTATTTTATATATTAAATAAATTTTTAAAAATTTATTTTTGAAGAAATAAATAATATCAATTTTTATAAGTTTTTGAATTTTACAGTATATATCGGATTATAATGCAAGAAATTATCTAAATCTTTTATCAAGATTGATTTAAGGTACTATAAAACTAGTTCTAATAAAAATGATAAAATAAATTCCGATAATAGCTGACAAATTCCAGAAAATATTTTCAAACACCAATAGGATCATCGAATAATAAGTTTTGAAACAAATTATTAAATTGTGTCTTATTGCGTCCTATTTTCGTTATTCATTATATGTAAGGGACTTTCATCCGCAGTAACCTTTGTTTAAAAAAAAGTTATTTGTACCACATTTAACGTTGTTTTATAACCTAAAAATTTTCTCCCGATTTTACTATTCTTTTTTTTCTCTCTCTTTTCCTAGTCATATTGCAAATAATTTTAAACAAGTTTTATTAAACGAAAATATATGTATCAATCACAGGATGAATCTACTAAAATCGACGAAGGGAAAGATTTATTGAAAACTGATGAAAAAGTGGAACTCGATGAAGAGAAATCTTGTGAATGTAAAGGACAAATTATCGCTAAAGAAAAAATGATTGATTCATTAAAAGCTCGTATTGAGGAATTAGAAACCGATTCTATTATTAAAAATCAAGATATCAAGAAACTTCAGCGAGAAACTAAAGATTTGAGAGAAAGTTTTCAAGAAATTCAGTCAATTCTGAAATCTAACAAATTCCTACTTGGGATAAATAAAAATATCAAAGTTAAAGAATTTATCAAACCACCAATTAATTTAGAGGAGGATATACATGATAAATTTGATTATGGTGATGATTCATTTCGTTTCGAATCTAAACTAGAAGTCAAGAAAGAAGAGTATGAATATGATTCATTTAATTTCGTAAAACATGATGATTTAGAAGATGAGGACAAGATTTCATTTGGGGAACTTTCGGAAATTTCCGAAACCAAAGATCTTTCAGATACATCATTTTCGTCAACAGAAAAAAAATCAACTTGTCAACAAAGTGAAAATTACAATAGCGCAATTAAAGATATTCATGCAACAATTATAAATTTCAATCACGATGATTTGGGCGTTTTACAATTTCTATATAACTCCAAAGATTTAATGGAATATAAAAATTCAAAAGAATTTCAAACGTTGCCCATTAATCTTCAAGAAATGATTGGTTTAAAGATTAATTTCGAAGGAAAATCGGAAATTGAGGATTCGAATAATCAAACATGTGCGGTCAAACATATTGATGTGAAAGGAGAAATTAAAAAATTAAGAAGTATAAACAAAAAAATAATTGCAGAGATAGAATATGAAAAGTTTAAGAGATTCTCGGCCAGTAAATATATTTGATATAGAATTAATTCCATTTTTTTTTTTCCTTTATTGTAATTTTTCATTAAACAAATATAGAGATCAAATTACTATAATATAGATTGTATTACTGTTTTAAAATCGTTAAGCTATTTTATATTCAATTGATTCTTATTCAATTCTTAAGCATTTGAATAATATAATGATTAATAATGATTATAATGATGAAATACGATGATAGATGATGATTACCTTGAGACATTACTTATAAAGATAACTTTAGATTGTCATCCCCTTACAACTATTGGATCGCGCTTTCTCATAAGAATAAACATAATAATAAATTATTCGAATACATCTGACTATCGTCAATTTATTCAAGATATCATTTTATTCAATCCTAACTTATCAAAGTATCTAAGATATAGATAACTTTGCCAGAATAAGGATATATATGTATGTATAGATTATTCGTTACTTATTCACGAATCATTTTTGATTTAAATGCTACATAGCCATCTGTCCTAGGTGGTAGAGCCTCTGCGCTATCAAGTTGTTCTTGGGAACGTTCTTCACGTAATTTCCTTTGTTTCTTGAGCCACACGTCACGACGAGAAATGTGAAGATCTTTAATACACTTAAGTATCATTATATTAGGAGCTTGTATTCCCTTATTAAGCAAATACTTTTTAAATCTAGGAAAGTGAACGTCTCTAATATAAGGTCTGATCTCTGTTGCTGTGAGTTCACCACTCTTTAATTTTCTTGATGGAATCTCTTCAATGTACCTAAGAAGCGTTCTCTATTTTTTTTTTTTTTTTAAAAAAAAAAATGGAAAAAGAAATTAATGCCATATATTATAAGGATGATAAAAACTGTGAATAAAAAAATTATTTACCTTTACAAGCTTTAATAATCTCAAATCAGCTTGTTTCAAATCGAAACCATCGTCCGAATGATCTTCATCTCTAGCATTGCGAGAAGCCGAAGCAAGTTGTCTCTGACCATTAATTCGCTTCTTCTGCGATTGATATTGTTGCTGTCGATGTTGCTGTCGATGTTGCTGATTTATTCTAGAAAACCGTTGCTCGTCACGATGGGTAAATTTTTGGATATGTGTTGAGCGATTACTCGACGTAGTATCTTGCTTTTTTATAACGTTATTCTCCGTTCTAGGTATCTTGGGAATTGTTTTTCGCACAGATGTGATATCAGAATTAACATTCGATGAAGCTTTATTAACTTTTACAATTGGTTCTAAAAAAAAGAGAATAGAATAGAATAGAATAGAATAGATAAAATAATTATTAAAAAGTTATTCGTTATGTAGTTTAGAAAAAAAAAATGAATTTAAAAAAAGATACAAATAAATGCCATGTACAAAAAAAAAAAAAAAAAAATTTCAAATTACTTTGAACACTTGTACTTCTTTGAACATGGACAAGGTTTTTATGGTTTGGACTACTGAGCATCATAAAAATTTTTTGTCCAATATCTGAAGAAATAAAGTCAGAAGAGACTTTTGGTTTAGCGTCAATTTTATCCATTGAAAAAAAATATTTTCGTTTTTCGTTTTTTTTGGTTGTTTGAGAGAGAGAAAATTTTATTGTGATTTATTTGTTTCAAAATATCATGGGATATAAATAATATGATTACAGTAATGAAATTAAATTGACTGTAATTATTGGTTTATGTAATTAACGGTAATTAAGGCTAATTACCCTTTTGCTTTTTTGGGTAAAACTTACCACTTAAAAAGAAGTGATCGACGACTCAAGTTAAGCTTGGGCATGAGGCTTATGTTTTGCAGATCTCATAAATTATTTCATTAACCTTAACCGTTATTAATTTAAGATTTGGCTTAAGAATTAGACGCATTAGTTCTTTACAAAATTTTTTGGTGTCGATCACTAGTAGCTTCTTTTCTGATACTACCATTGGATACATACTTTATGTTAGTGATGGCGTTTTGGCCCTGGCCAAAACAGCCAAATACTTTAAGTATTAGTGGCCATAAAAAATTTTGGTCATTTGACCCATGGCCAAACGATCCAACCTCCAAATGGCTAAATGCCAACACTGCTTTTACGTGATAAAACACATTTTTGTATCGCTTTGACTTGTAACACGAATTTAACTAACCATTTAAACCTTTTGATTTATACGTCCTACCGTTTGTGCAATTTAATTTCCTCTTCCGCTTCTTATTTTTTTCCCATTTATTTATTTTTATTTTGTTTAAAAAAAAATGGGTTCAGTTAGTATTGGTTTAAATGATGATTATGATGATGATCCTTATTACCAATTATTAGAAAAACAATGGAATTTGAATTATTTGGAAGACGTCTAAAAGCCGGCAAAGGCAAGAAAAGTCAAGTAAAAAGAACGAAATCACAAGTTATGAAATGTCTGCTAATCTTGATCTATTCACGACAGAGATGACGATACCAAACCCAGTGAGGCAGATGAATCCATAAATGGTTCAAAGCCAGGATCAACAAATTCCTTAAAGGTCCGTATTGAAGAATTGGAAAAACAAAAATTTGAAATTAAACAATTAAGAGAGGAATTGAATAGGATTAAAAGTTATTAACAAGTTGAAAAAAGGAATTGAAGAATTAAATGATTTCAAAGATAATATTTGAATCTTATGAAAAATTAAAGCGGATTTAAATGAATTAAAATACAAGTTCAGAATAAATGAATTGTTAAATGATGGATTAATAACTAAATCTTTTAAATAACAAGATTTATATTTTATCATTTAATAATTCATTGAAAACTCTGGTATCTTCTCTTTCAAGGGATGAAATACCAAACTTTTCTAGACAATCTCAAATTTATACTCCTTTGAGGTGGGATGACATTTCATATCAACAATATTCACAACCTTCAAATTTTCAAGAAAAAATAGAAAGAATGAACATGATGGTGGATAGAAATCCTTCTTCTAAAACAATCCCAATTTACAAAGTTTTACTTTTGAGAGAATTCCTTCCCCAATTAAAAAAAACGGTGGGACAAAATTTGGTTTCGAATAACAATAAAATTGAATCGCGGTTTTTTTTTTTTTTGTTTAAGAAATATGTTATATAATTTAAATTATTGTTATTAAATAGATCAATATCCGTTTAATAAAAAAAAAGTTTTTTTTTTTTTTTGGTGATTCAAATTTCAGTTATCAGAATTGCTAGCATATGGCTATTAACAAAATTCTAAGCACAATCAGTCATCTTTCCGTTCATATCGAACGGAAAGCTTGTTTTCTAATGCATGTCCACTTCGGTGAATGACAACAATGTGTTTTTGCTGAGACCGTATGTTGTACATTCCAAAAAATAACTTCGCATGATAATAGTAGGAAGAATATTGTATGATCAGACGGATACCAATACTGTTACATACCATTGGATTGAATGGATGGTGGCTTGGGCAGTGAATTTTATTGTTAATAAATTTGAAGGTTTTTTATTTTTTACGTATCCTTTCAGATTTTGGAATGATATAATTTTCTAATAAAGACATGCAACATTTATTTACAAAAAAAAAAAAAAAAAAATTTTTTTTTTTGACAGTACATATAACTAAACATTTATTCTCACGCAAATATTTGTATAATCTATTTGTAATAAGGGATCGATTATTTACTTGTTAAGTGCACAGTATTTAATGTTTATCGCTGCGCCTCCCATAAGTAAATCGATTATGTCGTATTTCAATTATATGCAGTCGTAGTAATGTGAATTGCCTTTATGGAACGTTTAATTGTTCTCAAAAACATAAAGACCGCGTATGTAAATCTCTGTCCCTGAATACAATACAAACATTCCCGTTTCAAGAAATGAAGACGTAATGATCTGCATGATCTCATTTTAAAACGATCTCGTTTTTCCAATATTGTTAACAACTCTCTTCTCTCTCTCTCTCTTTTTTTTTTTTTTTTTTACTTTTTCATTTATTAAAATAGAAAGAAAAATGGAATCAGATGAGAATGTTATTGATACAACAAATCCTTTGTATCAATTATTAGAAAAGCAAGCAACGGAATTTGAATTGTTCGGTCAACGTTTAAAATCCGAAATACAAAATTCCTATCGAGAATTTATCAAACTTCAAAAATCAAAATCAATGCAAATTGTTAATTCTCATACCGATCAAACAACTAATATGTCGAATACACAAATGATCATGACTTCAAATCGTGATATTTCTAAAAACGAGGAATTAAGGACAGAATTAGATTCTTTGAAAGCTCGTATTGAAGAATTGGAAACGGATTCAATTATTAAAAATCAAGATATAGAAAAGCAAAAATCTGAAATTAAACAACTTAAAGATGAATTAAATAAAAATGATACAACAGATATAAAAAAATTGAATCAAGAAATTAATGAATTAAATGAGTTTAAATATAATTTTATGAATTTATTTGATTTATTTGGTTCCGAGTTATCGGAATTAAAAATTAAATTAGAACAAAAGGAAATGTTAGGTGATAGTTTATTAGCTGAAAAACTTCAATTAAATGAAATTAATAATGATAACCTGATGCCTAATTATGACGAGACATTTAATTTGAGCAATGAATCTGAACCTGAAGATGATGAAGATCCTGTCAAATTGTTTGGAAACAGATCGTTCGGATATCCTGTAGTTTCACATGAAAAGAATCCTAAACAATTTACTAGACAGAACACAATACAGGCACTATCACCCTCTACTCAATTCCTTTCTGGGTCTCAATCACAGTCGAGTCCTTTACAACCCTTTACTCAACCCGTTTCTAGCGTTCCTAGGTTTCAACCACATCAGGTTCCTGCACAGCACGTTACTAATCCCTTTTCTGGGTTTCAATTACAGTCCTCTCAGGTTGCTTCACAACCTCCGGTTTCTCCATTCCACACTTCTAATAGAAATAATAATCCTCCACCACCTCCTCCAAATCCATATCGAACATCTCGCGCTTTTACCGGTGCTCGCAAAAAATTTTAACGACGTTGGAAGTTGATCACATTCGCGAATTATTTTCAACTTATTTTTCAAATTTCGTCTTAATTTACTTTCTTTATACACTATATTATATATTTAATACTTACTATGTTGGATTGTATCACCTTTAAGAACATATGTAATTAAAAGAAAAATATATTTTTTTTCCTAAATATCTGTCAAATTTTTTTTTTTTTTTTAATAATCTATAAAACAATATTTTAGCAATTATAAACGAAATTGCCACCACAATAAAAACATTTTTCGCTTACTATTAAAATAGCTTTAAAAAATTTTGAACTCATAAATGATTCATCCCTGGATATGATTTGATTTGCATTTGTTATGTCAAATGATTTACGTTTACATATGCTACACGATTTTATAAACTTATTGGAAAGAATATTTAATGTTATCGAACATCGTTCTAAAAAATAATGGAGGGAAATGTAAGCTGCTAGAAAAGGGTTTCTTGAAAAAAAGAAATTAAATAAAAAATTACCCCATAGATGTCCCTTCTCACAAACACCTTTAAATCCAGGTCCTAAAGAAACGCGTAATAAAAAATTATATATTAAGAATATAATAATCCCAAAATTTTAATTCCTTTTTTCTTTCAATTAAATTAAATTAACAAAAAAAGGATATTTTTTTGACACAGCGGACAAGATTCTCTTGCAGGTATCTTTAATTTTCTCGTTTTTGAAAATTTTTTAGACGAAATAAACTTGACTGTCCAATTAATTTCATAATCCAAATCCCTAAATATTTGTTTTGTTTCATTTCCTTGTAAACCATTTAAGCATTCATAAATAATCTTTGCATAGTTTAATAAATTTTCTTCGGTCCGATTATATATTAATACCCAGTCGCATAAATTTAATATAAATATTTGATCTCGTTCTATAAGAGAAGTAATTAGTTAAAAGAAGATAATTGAATAAATAATATAATCTTGTAAAACAAATCTTTTTCTTACCATTAACAATTAAACCCCTTTGAAGACAATTTGCAATGGTATCTAATACCTTTTCCAAAAAATATTTTATTAGGGTTGAAACTTCATATTGGACTTTATTCTGAATCTCGATACTTTCATCTCCAGTAAATTCTAACCGCTAAAACAAGAAATTCAAGTTAACTAAATTAAATCTCATAAAAATTTTGAATATTTTCGAAATCACATACCAAAGTGTTGTTATAAAGATGCAAAAGGATTCTCAGTTTATTCAACAAGGTGTTATGATACAGCTGACTCTTAAACCTTTTAATTAATCCAGGTAATGATAATTCACTTTATTGAAACAAGATATATAATATATATATATATTAACTTTCTTCCCTCTCACTTATAATTTATATATATTTAACTATATAAAAATTTATAATTACTTTGTTTCCAAGTTAAACAATGATCCAAAATACGCAGTTTCTGACAACTGTAAACTATCTGGCATAGTTGATTGTTGTAAGTAATCATTTCTGATAGCTTTCTCCAATATAGAAAAAAAAGAATCATCTTCATAATATTCATTTTCAGGATCACAGTATTCAAGTAAATCCCACATAATATAAGTCATTGATTTTCTACAAGCTAGCAAGAAAAAAAAAAATATCATTAATATATATATATATTTATATATTTTTAAAAAAAACCTACTTAAAAATGAATCTTCAAACTTATTCAAGAGTTGTTTAGTTAAAGTTTCACGCATTTCCATGTTTCCATAATTTTCGGTAGCAACAAAAGTAACATGAGAAACCTCAAATTTGTCAGTAAGATATTGTACAGTACGAGATTCTAAAACAAAAACAACAGCGACAAATAATCCATTGGCAGATGAGTCGGCTCCATAATAAATTGGTTCTTTCAATGAAGAATCATTTTCTGCCTCTTCTTGATTTTTTGCTTCTTCTATTAATGAAAATTCCTCAAGAGATTCATCATCATCATCATCATCCTCAAATTCTTGTTCTTGCCATTTTGTAATCAAAATGTCATTAATGAATTTTGTTCGAACATCATCAATATATATTCCTTCCTCCTTGGAAATATTGAATGTCCAATGAATTCCATCCATTGTGAAAACACGCAACTGGCTTCCATCATACCTCCATGTTAGTCCTATCAAAAGTAAAAGCTATTAAACTATTGTAAAAGCGGTGAATTCTTCATGATCAATATTAAATACCTGTAACAATTTTGGACATTGGTATCGTGAAATCCAATGAAATTATTTGAGTTTGGTAGAGTAACATCGATTCATCTGAAATCCATACATAGATCTTACGACCTTTTATCATAGCAAATCTTTCGCTTCCATCCTATTTCCAATGAAAATGTAAAATTTTATATAGAAAAATACGCTGAAATAAGTAACGATGATACTTACCGCCGAATCGTACCATTTCATAATTTCAACAATACGTCCATCTTCATTCGCAAGAACCATACGTAACGTGACAGAAATTGAATTCCTTTCATTTTCATTATCAGAAAAATCTTTTGACAAGTTCACTTGCCACAAATAAACTGAGCCTTCAACGCATCCTGTTACAAAACTTGATGCGTCTATGTAATCCCAATTGACGTCAAAAATCAATCCAAAGTAAAAATGTAATAAAATTGAAAAAGTAATTATAATATAGTTATAATATTTACTTACATTGTTCATTCTCCAATCTAATCCATTGTGACCAAGCTGAAATTGTAACCCAAGTTTCATGAGCTTGCAAGCAATCAAGGAAATTAACCCCATCATTGTAACTATTGAAAATAAAAACCTCATCCTTTATCATAAAATTCTTAATAAAACAACAGTTAATTTTTAGTAAAAAAAAAAGAAAACAATTTACCTCCAAAAAGTAACGGTCCCAGCCTTACTTCCAATGGCTATAATCGAAACAGGATCGAAATATTCATCAATACATAAAGGTGACCATGAAACAGCTAGGTAGCCATAATTATCAGTTAGGAAATACTTATTTCTGAAAAAAAATTTTGATAACCAATTTACAGTCTAATAAAACATTTACATATTGATTGAAGTTGATCCACGACCGTTTCATCAGTAATATCTTCAACCTTTTCATTTGTATAAGAATTAATGATTTGTTCAGTCATGTTTTCAATCTAACAAAATTATGATGGGCAATATTAACGTTAACAATATATTAAATATATATTTCATATTATCTTCTATAAAAAATACCTCTATCCAATCTGAGTTAACGGGATTAACTTTTGGTCCATAAATAGAAACGTTATATTTTGTTGTAATAGCAATAATCAAACAACTGTTCATTATATAATATATAAAATAATAAATAATTGGGATACGAAGAAAAATAAACGATAACACGTTTTTAAACAATACCTCTTTAAATTTGAAGTTCCACTTGGTGACCAAGCAGCACATCTAAAAGTTTCTTGATTTTCCTGAATAATTCTATCAGTAAAATCTATAAAAAAAGACAAAAACAAAAAACAAAAGCAATTCAAACATTCTCTAGTTACCTCATTAAATTAACAATCAACATGAACTCGTTATGTTTTTATTACCTAGGACTTTATCATTAAATTTAAAATACTCTCTCTCTCGATTAAATTCTTGACATTCAATACGAGCGTTGCGAACACAAGTTCCATTTCTTTCCATATTTATTCCTTTATACAATGGTGTCTAAATGATATAGGAAATTTAATAAAAAGTTTTCTTTTTAAATAAAATAAATAAAATAAATTTATTTATAAGTAAAACATACAAAAATGTAAATTGCGATTGGAGCGAATAATAATAATTGATTATCTTCGGACCATTTTAAACAATTTGGTATTGTAGGTTTTGTATTAACATCTCCATTATTTAAATTCATTTTACTAATTTTAGAAAGAAGAAAAATAATTTATTTGCGATTCTTTGTGGAGGTTTTTTTTATCATGATTGTTGATCATTTATTGAACCAATCATCGTCGAGCCCAAACGTATTATAATATACTTGATGTAAAATACCTTTGATCACTTCAAACACAGAGTTCATTTAATATCTCGTTTCGACATTGCAATTTAAGAATTTGAAGAAAAAAATTAATAAAAGACAAACTTTTCAAGATGGTAAATGTGAAATTATTTTCATAACTTTATTAATAGATGAAAAAGAAAAATAAATATACAAAATTTTAACATTTATGGGGTTGGGGTGTCTTCAACTTTACCATCATCCATTTCTTGGACTTGCGGTTGTATTATAGGATCCGCGAGATATTTATTTACAATGAACCTAACAACAGAACTATGGAATATCAACAAACTATTGAGAATAATCGATATAGTTATCAGAGTATTGTACTTGATAGCAATCACAAAATACAAAATCTATCAAGTAGAAGGAAAAAAACAAAATTTTTTTTTTAAATTTAAATTTACGCGTATTTTCAAACCAAATCATTTTAAATTAGTTACCTGAAAAATTAATTGTGGAATATCTTGAAGAGCGAATTTCGTCCAATAAGAATATTTAAGAAGTTTACTTGATTGATTTGTGTTAAATACAAGTTTAAGTGATTCAACGTCAATGAGACCAAGTATGAAATAAATAAATCTAATAAATTTTGACCCCGGTTGGTCACTGGGTCCTGCTTTATAATAAACCATTATGTGTACAAAGATGTTTACCATCCACGGAAAAATAAGAATTGCAACGCTACGCACAAATAAATAAATAAATATTGAGATGATTCATTATAAAACAACAAAGTTAATTTATCAGTTTATCGTTTTACCTTCCAATCATCATGAATTTAAAATCAAATCTATGGATTGCAATAAACCATATATCAAATATCAGATCAAGTGTCGCTAAGGAAATTTTGATCATTACAAAAATATCTGAAATTTCCGCCTAAAAATTTATTAAAAAAATGTCATCAATAATTTTATAATACAAGTATAACTAAAAAGTTCATTAATGATTTATTTATTACCTTGAACCGACACGAAAAACAGTTTAGGAGTACAAAAATTGCAAAGAAAGCCGCAAGAAGCCCGACTTCGATTTTATAACTTCCAGACACGGTTTCTAATAAGATATATAAATAAATAAATAATTTCTTAGAACAAACTCGTTATTTTTGACTTACTTCTAATGGCACTTCCAAATTCCTCGTCAAGCATGTTGGTTGATTCAAAGTGTGATATCGCAGTAATTTCCTTGTTTCGAATTAAGGTATCCAGATCCTTAATGATCATTTTTCCATTCAATTTAGATGGACCTTCTCGCTCTCGAATCTTGAGGGAAATGAGAATTCTAGTTTTTATATCATAATCTTGAATGTCTTTAGTTACTATGAATCGTGTTGGTTCTGTTGGAATAGTTTTCGTCAAATCAATCGATAATTGATTCATAAATGCGGCCTTATTAGGATCTGTTAACTTCTTAAAATTAGCAGATGCGTCCCTAGTGAGTCCAAGAACGATATCAACGGAATCAGGGTATTCATCAAAAGTATTCTCTTTTTTTTTTTAAACATAATATTTTAAATTAATTTATGAACGATAGAATACTTTATAAATAATTTTATAATTCTCGTTACCAGTAGTGAAATTCCAATTTCCTGCTCGCAATCCTAAAGGAGCTAACTGGGTTTGCTTGTCCACAAAAAATTCATGGGCAATTTCCACCGTATATGTCCCATTTGGGATATTAAAATTGGATTCCAGCATGTTGATTGTGACAGTTTTATAATCACTCCCAAGAATGCAATTTGGATGTGTTCCGGGGTGAGTTTGTTTTAATATTTTTTCAGAGTTTTCCAATTGAAATATTGTAATGTTGCCAGAGGACAAATATATTTCGTTTTTAAAAGTGATCGTAATGCTCTTTTTTCTTAAAGGAATTTTAAAATTGTTTTGTGGATCCGTAGTAATAACGTTCGGATTTTTGTATGGTTCTAATTAAAAGGTTGAAAAAAAAAAAATTTCAATTAAGAGATATTCAAAAGAAAATCACGTTACGAGGTTAATATGTATGTAAACTTCCTAGAAAATTATTTCAAATAATTACCTTCATCAACGAAACTCGATAAAGGCTTAGATTCCAATGTCCAAGTTGGATCGCCTGGTTTTTGTAGAATTGATACAAGGGTATTATTTTGGAATAATAGGCCATATCGTCTTCCTAATGCCGGTCTCGCTGTTGGATTGCCAAGTGGCCAAGGTTCCTGTAGGTTCGCTTCTCTATCAAAAAGATAACCGTATAGGTCCTCAAATGTGTCATTGAGCTCGTTGTATCGGTGCAATATTAGAATATAACCTACAAGATATTATTAAATTTTTTTAATCGAAATATGTAAAACGACAGGCAAAGTTTATCAAAAAAAATTTACCTCCGTAATACAAACTCTCCATGTATATTTCGTGTATATCTAGTGAATTTATCTCGTTCTATCAAAGAAAATAATTTTCTTATTAGAAAAGAAAAAATAATATATATATATATTTATTTTTTGACGTTTCATTTCCGAAAATACATACATTTTCATAAGTCTTCTCATCGATTTTTGAACTAAGATAATTAAAAAAATCAAATGAGAAATTAATTTTATAAGGAACAAATAAATTAATCTAATGTCAAATTACCCAGTCACAGTAAATGTGATTCGTGTTAAAAAATTACTTCTTTCGGTGAGGTTAGTTCTAACCACCAAAAAGCAATTATATTTTAACTCATAATACTCGACTCCACAAGCAAGTTCTCTCAGAGCTAAAGCTGGGGTGGCTCCGAAATGATGTATGAAATAGGGACCTCGTTGTTCATAAGTTTTCGAAGAAATGAAAATAGCATATGTTTCCAATTGCTTCATTAGCGGACCACCGCCATGGTCAATGGGAATTTCGGTAGCGACAGTAGAATTCACAATCACAATACCAAAATCACCACCTCCTAGCGTTGGAATGGTGTAGAAGAAACTTCCATATTGCATATTTTGTAAGGTGATCGTACCATCTTTAAGGCGCTTGATCATTCCATTTACATCCCTATTAACGTTAACAATTCAATCTTCGAGTTAGCGTAACGCGAAATCGGTTTATTATGTCACGTCTAATACTTACGGTGCGCTGAAATGTACCCAATATATGTAATTGGTTTCACTTAAGAAATCGGAGTAAAAGAAACCCCGCTCAGGTTGTTCGCGATCAAAATGAGTTTCAATCGGATATTGAATTATTTTATTCACGATGTAAACAGGCCCTAGATATACATTGCTGAAGAAATTTTTAATTTAAACAATCATTTTTTTTTTCATACCTTAAATATTACTCTTAAATATTATACAAACAAATATTTTTAATTACCCAGTGACTTGTCCTGACCAAGAGATTAATTTGGCAAAAACAGACATGTTTTCTTGGTCGTCATAGCTCGTCCCATTCATGTACGTTATGAGCACGTAATTTGGCATCCAGCTGTACAATCGTAACCCATAACTACCTTTAATGCGATGATATCCCATTTCATTCCTACAAAAATTCCACCCAGGAATTCCCAAAGCATCATTGTAAATATCAAGTGGCGTTACTGTGCCATTTGCATATATAATCCTCAATCTTATCGCCGACTCCCAACATCCATTTTTAAGATCTTTGATGACACGAACGACGGTGGTATCATCCTTGTACGTTTCAAGTTTGATCAGCTCTAATGTTGGATCAGACTCCGTGTAGGTAAAGTCGGCTTTTGCTTGGTGAATGGGCAAACAAAGGATCAGAATACATATCAACGATACGAAAATCATGATTTTTGGAGGTATCTTAAAATTCATTTTTTTTGTTTCGATATTTATTTGTAATAAAATTCTTTTTATTTTTGAATTCGAAAAAAAAAGACCATGGATTTATAAGAAAATTGCGTCTATCAAGATCGAATTGAAATCTTTGTTTCGATTGTTTTAGATTGATTCGCGTCACGCCAACAAAAATAAAAAGAACAATATTATGGATCAAGGATCACTTTCCAAAATATGTTCATTATTTGATTTCCAAATCTATTTAAATTTATTTCTTTATGAATGAACTTTAAACTCAATCTCTTTTTTTTTTCTATCGGAAGTTTTCCGTACGACAAAACTGTCACCTGAAGCTACTTTTTTTTAAAAAAATAATACTAATTATAATAAATTTTAATATTAACGAAATAGGATGTATAATGAAATTTGAACTGTTTTGGCAAAATTATGAGAATTTCTAATTTCTGTTTTATCTAGATGAATAAAAAAAAAAATAAGATTGTTTATTGTTTATGACAAATTGGATGTTGAAATATTTCCCAAAATCAATAAATAAAGGAAACGTGCAATCATTTAAAGTTTATTCCTATGATTCGGTTACTCGAAGGAAGGATTTATTCAGTTGTTTGTTTTATTTCCCAAAATAAAAGAACAATGATTCTCTTGTCGATCAAACGTGGCACAATGGTCATCTGGCTGTGAAAAGATATTTTGGGAAGCTTTGGGGGTACTTTGATCGGGGGAATACAAGAATATTTGCCGAAACCAATAAAAATTTAAAAATAAATATAGGAATTCGAATCTAAGTTCTAATATTCGAAATTCACGTCCATAATAAGAAATTTTAATATAGTAATTTTCGAATATCGAAATTCAATTCATATGTCGAAAATGAATCCATCCCCAAAAAATCCTCCGCAAGACTTGTTTTACCTTAGGACCCTAAGAGAGAAAGAATGTTCCTTAAAATAATAATATTCAAAAAATGGTCATATGTTGTGGTGTCACAAATTAGATCACTAATCACACTTTTTATAACTAGTACGGAATTACTATTTTTTATTGGGGGCTGAAATTTGTCATACATATAATAATGGCCTAAAAAATCTCACTCGTTTCATTAATTATATTTTCTTTCTTGAAATAAGGAGGGAATGCAAGAAAGTGACATAACACATGATTCCTCTGTACCTTTTATTCAAAATGATGTTAAAAATAATGTAGATAATGATACTTCCAATGATCCGTTTTATGAATTAATTGAAAATCAAGCTAAAGAATTTAAAGAATTTGGCAAACAAATGAGTTTAGATTTGTTCATGGCCTATAAAGAACATTTAAATCAAGATGAAGAAAGTGTTAATATGGAAAATGAATCTAAAAAGGATTGTGAATGTAAAGAACAGATCATTGCCCAAGAACAATTGATAGATTCATTAAGAGCACGTATAGAAGAATTGGAAACCGATTCTATGATTAAAAATCAAGATATTAAAAAACTTCGGCAAGATTTTATTGATTTAAAAGGATCAATTCTCGAGAGTAGCATTCGTCCAAGTAAGGATGAAAGCAGAAATGAACCGTCAAACTCTATTAAGGATGATAATTTTGGTATTCAAATGGAGACGTCAGAAATTAAAGAAGTAGGAAATTCTAGCTTATATATTGATCATACTATAAAATCACCTAATAAAGTAAAGTTCGTTGAACCTTCAATGTCCTCCTTATATAAAAAAAAATTCGTTAAACCTTTGACACCTTTCAATCAATATAACGAATATCCTTCAACGCCTTTCCAATATAACGAAGACAACGTTGAACCTTCAATTTACCAGCAATATAACGAAGACAATTTTGAACCTTTAGCAACTTTCCAGCATTATAACGAAGACAATTATGAAACTTCAAAACCTTATCAGCAATACAACAAAAGTTATGTTGAACCTTCAACATATAATCAGCAATATAATGAAGAATTTTTTGTACCTTCAACTCCTTCCCATCAATATAATGAAGAAACATTTACAAAAGTTCCAACATCATACCATGAAGACGACATATACAATAATAACGAACCTTTATGGATTTCTGAAGCTCCATCTACTACAATTAATTATCAACAAAAACTTAAACAACAGCAAGTAAATAGTAAACTACAAAAAGTTGAGCAAAAACTTGAAGAACCTACTATTTCTAATAGTCAAAATGTTTTTGCAAAAATAACGAAAGTGCTTGAAGATGAAAATGCACGTAATTTAATAAAAAATATTTCTCTTAATCAATTATTAAAATATGAAAAATCAACAGAAATTAGTTATTTAATTGAAAAATCTCAAAGACTTGTTAAACGTAGGATTAATGAAATGTTAAGAGATGAATTGTCAAAAGATTACGAGATATCACAACCTATTAGCATTTATGCAGCGAGAGGAATGATTCCTCCTTTGCCAAAGGGTATTAAAAGTTATACTGAATTTCAGAGAACTGCTAGTTATGTTTTGTTATCTGGTCCGAGAAAGCAGAGAATTAATAAAGTGATCTCGAAAGAACAAATGATGGTAAATTAATTATTGATAAATAATCTGAAAAATATATATACTGAACGTTAATTTTAATTAATTTTAATATATTTTTAATATATTTTTATTTTCCAATAAAATTATTTCATTTAATTTTTAATTTTTATAAAAATGTATCATAACGTTCCTTAGTATATTGATTTTTAATTTGGGTATGTTGTAATAATTCTACCTCGAACTTTTAAAGTCACATGATAAAAAGCCATGTGTTGGGTGATTCTTAATCATTTTCGGCGCTAACCAAGTTTATTATTGTTTTTTTTTGGCAAAATTACATAAACAATTTTCCGGTCGTTGCTGCGTCAAAATTATTGAATTTCAATACATTGTGCAATATACGAAATAAATTCGTCATACAATCCAACCCCCTAAATTTTTTTTTCTCTCTGAAAAAAAAAAAGTTATGGAAATAAAAGAAAGTGACATAGCGGATGATACATCTGTATATTCTATTCAAAATAATGTTAAAATAAATGTAGAAAATGAAAAGTCTACCGTTCTTAATGATCCATTGTATGAATTAATTGAAAAACAAGCTAAAGAATTTAAAGTATTGGGCAAACAAATGAGTTTAGACTTGCGCGATATCTATAAAGAGCATTTAAATCAAGATGAGGAGGTTATTAAGTTGGAAAAGGAATCTAAAAGCGATTATGAATCTAAAGAACAAATTATTGTTCAAGAACAATTAATTGATTCATTAAGAGCACGTATAGAAGAATTGGAAACCGATTCTATGATTAAAAATCAAGATATTAAAAAACTTCGACAAGACTTTGTAGATTTCAAAAAAGAATTTCAATTCATCCTCGATAAACAGCCAGTACAAGCTCAAAGTATTAAGGATAGCGTTCCTTCAATTAATAATTTAGAAATAGTTAACCAAATTGATGGATCGCTGACAGCGGCTATTGGTTCTTGTGCTATCTCTTCTCATACGGAAATATTAAAAAATGAAGGGAAGGAAAAATCTAATAATAAGAAATCACTAAATGTATTACACTCTGATCATGGTGTATATTCTTTTAATCATGAAAACTTGGATGAGCCTTCATCATCTTACCATCAATATGACGAAAAGCCTGTTGAACCTTCAACACTTTACCATCAATATGACGAAGAACCTGTTGAACCTCCAACTGTTTACCGTCAATATGACGAACCTGTTGAACCTTCAACATTTTACCATCAATATGACGAAGAACCTGTTGAACCTTCAACATTTTACCATCAATATCAATATGAACCTGTTGAACCTTCAACATTTTACCATCAATATGACGAAGAACCTGTTAAACCTTCAATAGATTACCATCAACATGATAAAGAGCCTGTTAAACGTCAATATGAACCTGTTGAACCTTCAACAACTTACCAAAGATATGATTTTGGTAGATATTTTGATAAATATAACAAGACAGAATCTTCAGTATCACAACAATATAATAATGAAGAAAACTACTTTGATGATAATCACAGTGATAAATTTACATTTAAACCCAAATTGTCCTCTGGAATCGCTCAATTTGCTTCAACTAGTTTTCAACCAAAAAAAAATGAAACAAAAAGTCAGCAAAAATCGAAACAAACACAAGTATTAACTAATAATAGTAAAGTTCATGCAAAAGTTATGGAAACTATTGAGAAATTTAAAAATAAAAAGCTCTTAGATACAACATTCAACGATTTAATGTTTGAATTTCCTACTAAACGTCTATTGAAATATGAAAAATCAAAAGAATTTGAATCTTTAAGTAAGAATCAAAAAAGATGCATTAAATTTACTGTTAATGAAATGTTAAGAAAGGAATTATCTCAAGAAGAAAAGAAGTTATCATTACCTGTTAAAGTTTATACGGCGAGAGGAGTACTTCCTGGTTTGCCAGATGGTATTAAAAGTTATACCGAATTTCAGAATACTGATAAATATAGATTGTTATCTGATGTGAAAAAGAAGAGAATTAATAAAGTGGCTTTGGTAGAACAACGACACTAAATTATTGATAATTAGTAAATGATCGAATTCGAGAATAATTTTAATTTTGTTAATTTGATACAACAATTTACTTATAAATAAAACGATTCATTATAACAAAAAAAAAATATCTAGTTTTAAAATTTTATTACGGTTTGTTTTCTACTCACAACTATTACTTATTATTATTACTATTATTATTAATTGATTTATGTAACCTTTACTTAATTAATTTTATTAGGATTATAACTATTGTTGAAAGAAAATTTCTGAAATTATAGTTATTGTATTTAATTTGTTGTTGTATATTGCGAATTAACCTATCTTAGATTTATAAGTTCATTCGTGTAAGTGGAAAGAAATTGGTATCAATTGCAACAAGATTTCAATTGTACTATTTTTTCACATGGAAACGGAGACGTAAGACATTATCCGAATGAAGATCAAATACAGCCAAAGCTTGTTATATGCACCTTCGCTCGATATATATTCGTTTAACGAGATTTATTAAATACTTTATTTAAAGTATAAACAATAAAATCACTCTTACGCGATTTATCGGTGTTTACTTTGAGGACGCTTGACCAGATGATTCACATTTCGAGCACAAGGATCGAATCTTTTAATAATTAGAAAATTCTGACATGTGATACGCGAAACAATTTTAATTTAAACTATAATCAACGGTTTTTTTTAATAAAAAAAATATATATACCTCTTTTGATCTGATACCCCTCGCCTCAAAGTACTCGAGGAACTATAATGGGTATAATTATAAGGATTTGTGAATTTTGCAAAATTGTGGGATGTCAAATCTTAACTGACGCTTGTTTAATAGTCAGGAAGTATATTACCATTCACTCGTTAAATTTACAATCAATATATGATATTAATATTACACAGAAATAATAGCAACTCTTTTATTTCTTTTTCGTTGTTGAGATAACAAAGGTTTTCAAGTATGTTCAAGAGCTTAATAAAGTTCTAAAACATATAATGAAACCGTTTTCATACATTACTACATTACACAAACCGAACTTTAAGTCCTCGGTTATTATGAAGAAAGAGTGTGTCATAAGATTGAATAACCAATTACTGAATACATATATTCAGGTTGGGTATTTAGGGGCAAAAAGACCGCATCAAGATCCACATAGCTTCGTTTGTGGCATTTCCTGACTTCTCCCGTTTATATCTTGAACGTCAGAAAAAAGTTAAAATTCAACTGCGCCCAAACACGCTTTAATGACAGAATATTTAAATGTCCCTGCAACGCCAAACCAAATGTCTATATATTTAATAAAAGGTCCTTAAACCTTCCTGTCTAGAATTTTAAGTCGTACTTGTCTTGAGTCGTAAGATAAAAACCTACTCTCTGACTTACAGGATATTCATTTAGGAAATCCACAAAATCCAAATCTGAATGTTTTCTTTCTGTATTTAAGAAAAATTTCATGCAGGAAAAATTATCAACGAATTATTATTAATGGGTATTTTAACCCAGGAGCTTAGAAGCTGAATTGAGGAGTTGGAGAGAATAAGGCAGGTACCGTAAAAAGACCCGGGTATTATACATAAGGACATCGAAAAAAAAGTTGCGAAAATTTGTATAATACTCGGGGGTATTATACACCAATTGTTTTTTTATATAGCATTTATATGAATC